CTATATGTTTCCTGGTAAGTGTGTTGTAACTGTTCCTTAAAGTATAGGCCTATTATAGTAGGTATCTTAAAGTAAAACCAAATTATTCTTTTCTGCATTCTCACCCCGTAGCGAAGCACGGGCAGAGCAACTAGTAGGTGTTAATCCATTGGCAAATATATAAATAAATAAATACACAGGCCACAAAACATGTAACTTAACATGTTAAGTTAACAACGTAAAGCTATAAAACTCAATATGGTTTGCTAAAAAAAACTTTCACTTGATTTGGTGCAGTCCCGGTACCAAAGTTATTAATCTCCCTTGGTTTTATTTTTTTTTTATGTTTTTGAAAATCAAAGTTATTTCCCATTAATAGCATTATTTGTAAGCAACTTTTAATGTTAACAGTTTGAAGAATCCACCTTTATCCAAACAAAGGTTTCTTATTTAAAAGATTACGTAATCTCTAAACGATAATCGGTACATATATATAGCAAACATTCGGGGGAAATGTGACAAAAATGCACAAATCTGGGGGTTTTGGACGATTGGAGTTTTACTTCCTAAGTAGGAAAAGTACCGATATCGTTGTCGAAATGTTAGCAAGTAGAAACCAAAAGTGACACATTGGAAAAGATGTTTCTAAAGCTACATCTGTAACTTAAACCTCTGTTACGATCACAGCGAAATCAGAAAGATCTTCCAAGATCGCAACAACATCCACGATCACCCACTGCAGTTGTGATTTTTTACTTTGTACTTTACACAACTGTCATTGAAGCGCCGTCAATAAGTGTAAACCTTTTTTGTAAGCTATTGGAGACGATGATTAAGAACATGTAAGTTTCCCAGCACTAATACAACACAGATTCACGGTATTTTCCCCGGTTATCAAAACTCAAGAACAATCGTTGCACTTGCGATTAATTAAACCGGTTAAGTAAGGCACAACGTTTTTAATCTCACTTGGTTTGGATCAGTGGCGTTGCTTGGTTAAATTCCAGGGGGGGGGGGAGAGAAGCCTCAAATTTCCCAACTGCTTAACATAGATTTCCCAACTTTTTTTTTAGAAATCAATTTCTGTACTATTTTTAAAAATCTTCAAATTATACTACACAGCAGTCACACTTAATTCAGTATTAATAAACTTGCATTAACAAAACTTACCTAGTTTTACATATATACAAAATTACTTAATTTCTAAAACTTCTACCAATTCATAATGAAATTTTATGACTCCAAAAAACTTGAACAAGTAATGTTTCAAATCCAAAAAACTTTACAAACCATTGTGGTAGCAGACGTAGCAGTGTAAAATTTTAGGGATATAAAATAAGCCTAGTACAAATTAATATAGAATAGTAGTTTACGCAACGATTGCGTTAAGTGAGTCTTTACGACACAAGTAGAAAATTTAAGTAAAACTTCTACGAGTGTCGTAAAGACTATTAACGCGAGTTACGTACACTACTTTACCTACGACCGTTTTTTAATTGCTATCAATCTGGATTTAATTACTAACAATCACTACTGATAACTTTTTAGAGAGGTTATGTTTTCGTGTATTGTCATTGCCACTGAAAGTGATGCAACGACTTGTTGTATAATCAGCTGATTTCCTGTAATTACGTGTTTGTTAAACTTTGTTAAATATTACATTGCTAGCAGCATTCTTACCATAAATAATATTGTATCAGGTACAATTCGGCAAATATTTCATTTATTTTTGGACTTCCACAAACTTAATTAAGAATACGCGAGTATCAACATGAACAAGTCGGATCAACAATTAAATTGGTCAACTGAACAGCTGATATGAAAAAAAACTATGCTGATATGAAATGAAACTATGCTGATATTAAAGTAAACAGCTGTAAAGTGAAACTTTTCAATTCTAAGAACTAAACTGAAATGGCTACTTTAAAAAACGGTCGTAGGTAAAAAATATTTTATTACAAAATAATAAAATTAAAATACTTTTAAAAGTTAAGATCAACATTTTAACTTTCATAAAACTTACAACTAGGGTACCAGTAGGCTTAAACAAGTTTGTAATGATGAAATATTAATACCGGTAGGCTATCAGTGCTGTGAATAATATTATTCTAGTCTAGAAAAGAATAAAGGGTCAACCGGGGCTAATATGAACACACCAAAATATTGGGGCTAATATGAACAATGACTTAAAAAGTCATTTATCTGGGATTTTTAATCATGAAAAAAATATAATTAGAAAGGAAATTTATTGTATTTTTTGTGTCCATAATAAGAAAACTTCAAATTTGACTTTTAGGTACTTTAAAAAAATACTTTGTTAAAACACTTTTTTTCCGCCCAAAAACTTTTTTGCGCAAAAGTGAAAACTTTTGTTATAGGTAACAATTTTTACATTGGTTGTAGGAATAATCTTAAGCCTGAATTTGGTTAAATAAGAATTGGGGATTATTTTTCTTTTCCCAAAGTTAAAATATATTAATAACAGCCAAAGCTATAAGCTTTCAAAGTTGGGGGGCTAATGTGAACAGTGAATGGGGGCTATTGCGAACAGTGACATGGGGCTATTATGAACAACAATATACATACAATATACATACAATAGACATAAGTATGTCTTCGACAAAATTGTCGACGTTTTTGAGGCGTAAGTTCCTCAATAAACTTCTTTGAAGGCCTTACAGTGATAAAACAGTTTTAATTTTACAAAGACAACAGTTAAGGTGTTGAATAGGCCTAGCCCACATTTTTATATTTACCTAATAGGCCTAAAAGTGCAATAAACTGTCATTTGCCTAAACGAACAATTTGCATTGTCTTAAATTATTATTTTTTTAAGTGCTTTAAACAATTTGTATGTGGAAGAAATTTTTAATAAATACTCAGGTACCGTATGTTGACAGATAATTTTTTTCTTGTTTATATCTTATTATTAGCCCTGTATAATATTTATAAATGGTTTTAAAAAAAAAGGGTTACCGTAGGGCGACCCGCGGCTCTCCAAAGATACCTTCATATCTCAAAAACTATTTAAGATAAAATATTGAGACTTATTGCAACTGGTAGACTAGACCCTAGGCTTGTTCACAACAGCCCCCACATATGCCTAGTGTTGTAAATAACAGAGTTATTAAGAGTGTTCACATTAGCCCCATGGGCTGTTCACATTAGCCCCTTTTAGCGGGGCTAATGTGAACAGTGGTTTTTAATTTTTTTTTTAATAATGGTTACATTTATGGTTTTTGTTAGTAAATTAATAGATTCAGCTAAAAGAGCTGTATACACTACTATTTTTTCTTTTCTTCTGTCATTTACCATTTTTGAGTTAATGTCAAAAGTTTACTTTTTTTGTTCATATTAGCCCCGGTTGACCCAACCTAAAATAAGACTCGCATAAAATAAAACCGTTCAACTTGGTTGATAATAAACTTATACATACAATAAAAATTTTAACCTTCATCTTCATCTAACTAGGACTTAGACAAAAATCAAACGAGTGAAAGTCAAACATCAAATTTTAGGTTATGTTTTTTTCACGTAGATCTGTTTCAGAGTGATTACTGATTAGTTGATTAATTTTTGTAAATCCTTATAGGAATGATAAATAACTTGTGTAGATTTTTTAAATATATTCAGAGAATAAATATTTCATTTAGGTTATTAAAAAATAAGAGTTTTAAAGGTAATACCGATACACAAAAACTATCTTTAATGTTATTTTTATCTGCTTATTAGCAAGTACTCCGGTCAGTTAGCCTGCTCCAAATACCACAAAAAAGGTATAAAATATATTTCATGTGACTGACGTGAAAAATATTTTTGAATTTCTTGTAAACACTAACAGACAACATAATTAAACTGAAGATCACCATCGCTGAATGATTCGTCTGCGAGAATCATTCAGAATCATCAACACAACAACACAGGACAGGATCAAGGTAGCCAACATACGTCCAATAAGGAACAAAATTTGGACGGAACCACAGAATGGACAAACAGACAGAAATTGAGATAAGACTCGTTTCGGCTTTCTTAGGCTATGAAACGTAAAAATAACCAAAAACTGCATGATTCTAAGCAATGTACAGACAAAACTGTAATTTTATTTATATAGATAAATGTTTGGAATACCCGCCATTTTGGCTAGGGGTGAGATATTTACCTCAGGTTTACGTATTAATTTCTTTTGACAAGCCCTTCAAACACTCAATAGGGGTTGCTAATTTGAAAAAAATAAGTCACCACCTACGCTGTTAGTGTGGTTTCAAACAATTATTTTTGAGTAAAAAATTACAGAACCTTTGTTTAGAATCAATGCTACAAACAAAATATTTCTATCCATTTCGGTTTTAAAAATACAGATTTGTTTCAATACTTAATTTACACACTGTATATAGACTACATATTATATAGGTACTATATAATTAGAAAGAATTTTGTTTTGCCTCCTGAGACATTTAAATGAAAAAATAAATTGGTCCTGGGTCTAGCTTTTACCGTGCCACCTACTGTAATAGCTACTTCCCTAAAGGGAAATTCGCTAAATGAGAGGATTTTGACCGTTTCCTTACAAAAACGTAAAAATGCCAATGCCTACAAAAGTGCAAGGAATAACTTAAGTTAGGCCTATGTACTTGAGTTAACTTAAGTTATAATGGCAGAAAAATATGTCCATACTTCCTTTGGCACTATTATATATACGGTTTTCACTGTAGGCCTATAGTTAAAACCCGTACTGGTTTAATTTTGAATACTTATTTTATCAACTTTCATGATGATGAGGTGACACTAGGCCTATATAACAAGGGGAACATTGAACTTTACTCATTGAGCTAAAACAGTCCCAACCAGCCCGCATACGCCTATATACAGAAGCTCCCATGTAAGCCTACGTCTGTAACTCATCTCAACGAGAAACTGTGATAGCGATAGTGTGCTGCTATAGGCTCCCATAATTATACTTTAGAACCTTATGAAGATAAGATACAGGTTAATATCTAACCTGTATTTAGTAGGCTACTTACCCAAAACAAGATGCCACTAATCCTGCACATCCTAATCCAGCTCCCAATTCTATCACATTTTTGTTTTTGAGATAGTCACAGTCAGTTTTACACAAAATTTCAATATATTTTGATAGGACTATCGCGGCATCCCAAATCACACAGCTAACATCACCAACCTCCTTTTGTTGCATTTCAAGTGTTTTATTGAGTGACTCAATTTCGAAATTTCTAACAAATGTTTGTGACATGTTTGTTAAAAACTTGAAAACTGAAAAGTTCAAACCATCTGAAAACATGGTACTTACGTATTATACGGAGGCCACTTATTTTACAGCGCGCTGCGGCGGTTGGGTTAAGTTGGGTTATCATAAATAAATAGGTATGTTTGTAGAACTTTCCTAGTTTCGTTATGAATCGAACTATACGAGATGAGTCATAAAAACTTATGATAACCCAACCTAACCTAACCGCCGCAGCGCGCTGTAAAATAAGTGGCCTCCGTATAATACGTAAGTACCGAAAAGGTTTGTTCAAATTGTTTCTGGGTAACAGAAAATCAACGAGAGAATAAATTATTACTTATTACCTAGTTTTTAGCTAGAATTACAATAGTTATTAGTTATAGGTTAACCAACCAAGTTTGTCGTTTTGTCTGGTTTATGATGTGGATGTGTTATGTTTTTGTTTACTTTACTTTTATTTACACCGTCGTGAATACTCGACGTTCTGTACCCACGGGCATCTCACTCAGCTTGCGTGAATTCGGAATCAAATATTGCGATGCGAGTGATGCGACTCACTGTCGTGAAGTTAGCGGCTCTTTTCATCGCCGCTTTTTCGGATTGTAATAGATATGGGTTGGTGTTGGTACGCCTGCGGGCGCCACAAACGTGTTTTGTAGGGATGTCGGAAACACAATTCAATGACAATACGGTTCGAAATGATGTTTTTACATTTATATAATGTCAATTATACCTTGATAAAACGTGTATACACGTTAAAACTAATAAATTGGCGTATTTTAAAAGGTATATTTGAGACCGTACTGTACATTATACGTAGCTATGGCTTAAAATAACGCGATCAATTAAAACTCCGAACATAAAAAAGTGCATAATCTTTTTCCTAAGCCCATCACAACAACTTTGAGCTATTCTAATTGTAATATACAATGTGTAGAATACTCAGTATAAATATGATTGAGGCAGTCCAGTAAATTACGAAGCTATGAGGCAAAATCTATATGGTTGATAGGAATTTGCGTCAGGAAAAAGTGCACAATCTTTTTCCTATGCCCATCACATCAAATTTGAGGTATTCCAATGGTAATATACAATGTGTAGAATAATCAGTATGAGTATGATTGAGGCAGTCCCCTAAATTACCAAGTTATATGGCAAAATGTATATGGTTGATAGGAACTTGCATCAGGAAAAAGTGCACAATGTTGACCCTAAGCCCATCACATCAAATTTGAGGTATTCTAATGGTAATATACAATGTGTAGAATAATCAGTATGAGTATGATTAAGGCAGTCCCCTAAATTACCAAGTTATATGGCAAAATGTATATGGTTGATAGGAACTCGCATCAGGAAAAAGTGCACAATCTTTTTCCTAAGTCAATCACATCAACTTTGATGAATTTCTAATGGTAATATACAATGTGTAGAATACTCAGTATAAATATGATTGAGGCAGTCCAGTAAATTACGAAGCTATAAGGCAAAATCTATATGGTTGATAGGAATTTTCGTCAGGAAAAAGTGCACAATCTTTTTTCTGTATTCTAATGGTAAGATACAATGTGTAGAATACTCAGTATAAATATGATTGAGGCAGTCCAGTAAATTACGAAGCTATAAGGCAAAATGTATATGTTTGATAGGAACTCGCATCAGGAAAAAGTGCACAATGTTGACCCTAAGCCCATCACATCAAATTTGAGGTATTCTAATGGTAATATACAATGTGTAGAATAATCAGTATAAATATGATTGAGGCAGTCCAGTAAATTACGAAGCTATGAGGCAAAATCTATATGGTTGATAGGAATTTGCGTCAGGAAAAAGTGCACAATCTTTTTCCTATGCCCATCACATCAAATTTGAGGTATTCCAATGGTAATATACAATGTGTAGAATAATCAGTATGAGTATGATTGAGGCAGTCCCCTAAATTACCAAGTTATATGGCAAAATGTATATGGTTGATAGGAACTTGCATCAGGAAAAAGTGCACAATGTTGACCCTAAGCCCATCACATCAAATTTGAGGTATTCTAATGGTAATATACAATGTGTAGAATAATCAGTATGAGTATGATTAAGGCAGTCCCCTAAATTACCAAGTTATATGGCAAAATGTATATGGTTGATAGGAACTCGCATCAGGAAAAAGTGCACAATCTTTTTCCTAAGTCAATCACATCAACTTTGATGAATTTCTAATGGTAATATACAATGTGTAGAATACTCAGTATAAATATGATTGAGGCAGTCCTGTAAATTACGAAGCTATAAGGCAAAATCTATATGGTTGATAGGAATTTTCGTCAGGAAAAAGTGCACAATCTTTTTTCTGTATTCTAATGGTAAGATACAATGTGTAGAATACTCAGTATAAATATGATTGAGGCAGTCCAGTAAATTACGAAGCTATAAGGCAAAATGTATATGTTTGATAGGAACTCGCATCAGGAAAAAGTGCACAATGTTGACCCTAAGCCCATCACATCAAATTTGAGGTATTCTAATGGTAATATACAATGTGTAGAATAATCAGTATGAGTATGATTGAGGCAGTCCCCTTAATTACGAAGTTATATGGCAAAATCTATATGGTAGATAGGAATTTGCGTCAGGAAAAGGTGCACAATCTTTTTCCTAAGCCCATCACATCAAATTTGAGGTATTCTAATGGCAATATACAATGTGTAGAATAATCAGTATGAGTATGATTGAGGCAGTCCCCTAAATTACCATGTTATATGGCAAAATCTATATGGTTGATAGGAACTCGCATCAGGAAAAAGTGCACAATCTTTTTCCTAAGTCCATCACATCAACTTTGATGTCTTCTAATGGTAATATACAATGTGTAGAATACTCAGTATAAATATGATTGAGGCAGTCCAGTAAATTACGAAGCTATAAGGCAAAATGTATATGTTTGATAGGAACTCGCATCAGGAAAAAGTGCACAATGTTGACCCTAAGCCCATCACATCAAATTTTAGGTATTCTAATGGTAATATACAATATTGTGTAGAATAATCAGTATGAGTATGATTGAGGCAGTCCCCTTAATTACGAAGTTATATGGCAAAATCTATATGGTTGATAGGAATTTGCGTCAGGAAAAAGTGCACAATCTTTTTCCTAAGTCCATTACATCAACTTTGAGCAATTATCATTGTAATATACAGCGAGTACAATAATCAGTATGATTATGATTGAGGCAGTCCTGTAAATTACGAAGCTATAAGGCCAAATCTATATGGTTGATAGGAATTCATGTCAGGAAAAGTGCAGAATGTTGACCCTAAACCCATCACATCAAATTTGAGCTATTATAATGGTAATATACAATGTGTAGAATAATCAATATCTTGTGAGAAGAGTTTTCCGCTTAGCGCCGTCCTTAGGGTGGAGCGCAAGTATCGGTGTTTTTCCCCTGGCTGAATTTTTATTTCAGGATTAGTGTTGCCTACAGTATTATTTTGAGGCTTCTGATTGGTTGAGGGAACATCATTACCGCAACGATAAGGTTGATGCCAACGGCCTCGGTGATGTAGTGGATAGAGTGCTGGGCTGATAATCAGAAGGACACGGGTTCGAATCCCACCCGTAGCGCTATTTTTTTGTATTGGATTTTTTTCATTATCAACAAGTTTGGTTGGTTTGGTTAGGTTATGACGGTTTAATTTTATAATTAAAACATTATGAAATTGAATTTGACCCATTTATAGTTTTATTTAATGAACAGAAATATTTTTTTCGGTTAAACCTTCATTTGATTTTTTATTTTTAGCAAGTCTAGTTAGTTTGGTTGGGTTATGATAGTTTAATTTTATAATAAAAAAAATTATAAAATAGGATTTGAGGCATTTATAATTTTATTTTATGAACATAACTATTTTTTCGATTAATAAACCTTCATTAGATTTTTTCATTGTCAGCACGTTTGGTTGATTTGGTTAGGTTATGACGGTTTAATTTCATAATAAAAAAGTATAAAATTGAATTTGAGACATTTCTAATTTTATTCTATGAACAAAAATAATTTTTCAATTGCTAAAACTACGTTATAGTCAATCAGAAGCCTCCTAAATGACACTGTTGGCAAAATTAATCCTGAAAAACTAATTGTGCTTCCCCCTGGGGCCAATTTCATAATAAACTACAATTTACAAGCTTGAGGAGTATGTTTTATCTATGTTACAAGTTACAACTTGTAACTTGTAATTTCCATAAGATTTGCATTAGGCGATCAGCTGATTTAGTAATAATATTAGTTTGTACTTTATTATGAAACTAGCTGTACCCGCGGGCTTTGCCCCGTTTAACTTCATAAGTGAGCTCGTTCGCATGGCTCAATCACGTCCTGGTTGAAGTTCGTTCGCTACGCTCACTCACTTTTAGGTTGGAGCTCGTTTGCTGCGCTCACTTACCTTCAGGTTAGCTCATTTACTACGCTAACTCGCCTCCAGGTTGAAGTTCGTTCGCTACGCTCACTCACCTTTTGGTTGCAAATTAGCTGTTGTCATAAATGTAAAAGAAATAATAGTGCTGCACCCTGTTGGTGATCCTTGTAACTTTAATGCTATTAAACATCATAGAACAGAACCAACTTAACAGAAACAGCTGTTAAGATTCATTAATTCCATTTAAATATGAGTAAATATGAGGGTTAACATGGGAAACTCCAGAGCCACCGGGACGGAGCCCGAGAGTCCGATCAGAATAAAAACAGCTTGGTTTTCCTATTTAATGCCTAAAGAATCAGTGTACCAAATTTCAGCCTCCTAGGTAAATGGGAAGTAAGAGAATTAGTGATGAGTGAGTGAGTGAGTCAGTCAGTCAGTCAGTCAGTGAGGGCTTTGCCTTTTATATATATAGATAGGCCCCTGGTCACAGAAAACATGTTTTCTGTGCTCTGGTATACGTATTTACCCAGTTTTATAAAGTAAAACTAGTATCGTCAGCAAAGAGCACACGATATCCATACCACCCCAGATCGTTAACAGCAATCAGGAACCAAGCAAAGCCCCCCTGACCCCTGCCCCTGCCCTGGGCCTGAGGGGACTCGTGTAGAACCCGTAGAACCGTTCAGTGGATTTCGTACCCTTCAGGTCAACCACTAATTAATTGTCTCATGTAGCTTAGGATGGTGCTGTTATCGGGAAGGGAAGCATAGCACGATAAATTAATACAAAGTCTCTCTCTACCTGACTCTGGTTTAAACATCATGTTTGTTTGATTATCCAAAGACGGGGCTTTATTGAAAGCTTTGTAACGGTTGAAGCTTAGACTAACTTTTGTTTAATCTATGGCTGAAGCTTGATTAATATTCATTTAAAAAAGAATAGTTCCCATGACAATTCCTTAGACTGTGCATTATTATGCATTCCCAATTCCCACAGCCGCCTTTAACTCCAGGCCGTGGCCTTCGAATTCAATTCTGTATGTTTTATTTTCAACATGTTAATAAATTTAAATTTAAATCAATAAAGTGCA